GGCTTTAATCTCAGAGTGGACATGAGTTCCTTCAAGGTGGTTGCGGGTACGCCTTGTTGACTGGTGGATGCCAGCTAGCACGAAACCTAGGTTCAACGCTCGCTATCTACTGCCTCCAATCATCTAATAACAGATATTCTTTCGTAAGAATTTTTAATATAATGTAGGTTTTAACATAAAAAACCTGCACTGAATATGTTGTCTAGGATGGCGGCGTAAGCTTCACAATTAAATCAGTCAGCTCACAGAATACAAAAAATTCAATGGAAGCCACAGCTGTTGACGATGTCTTTCTTCGACTTGTTCAACTCTCTACGTCGACTTGACTTTCACCAATTAAATCAGTGAAATATGACTTGTTAAGTTAGTTTATTAGAACTAATTATGATTATTATCTGTCTTCTCTTTGAACTGGTTTCTGTCAGCCATGATAAAAGGTGTAGACATCTAAGGTGTGCACTTCAGCTTGTTTGGAACTTGTAGGCCACGTGTAACTGCATACTAAGTGAATGCTAGTGCTCCCATAATTCCAAACACCAAAGCGCTATACAATAATAATTTGTCAGCCTGAACAGCTCACTGGTAATGTCTCTGGCTGTAGTACCTGCGGGTGTGGGTTCGAATCTCAGAAAGGAAATGAATTCCTTGAAGACAGTAGATACGCTCTAATGGCTGGTGAGTGCTAACAAGCACAAATCTAAGATCTAGGATTTCCAGCCAACTGTCTTCAATCAGCTGACAAAAGTCGGGGAGATCAGTCACAGCTACTTTTCAATATCTCCCGATTCTTTATTTCTACAGGAATATCTTGTCCATTCAAAGGTCTGTAGATTCTTAGAATCAGCGTTGCATCATCTCAGACTATCCACTGGATGTACTGTCCAGAATATTATACACTAATTTATCAGCTTCTTGACTTCAAAAAGAATGGAATTAATTAAAATTAGAAAAATAAAATTCATATTTCATTCTCTTTTATTTTTTGAAATAGTCGATCGCTGATAAGCTATCTGCTAGGTGGCTGGCTGATAAACGAAAAAAGCATCTTTATCAATAAAAAAAATGATAAAACGCATCATTTTTCAAAGGGACATGTGAAAATTACTGATATCATGTAAGTCAGTCAGTCCTTAGATTAAGAACCGGAAAATATTTCAAAAATTTGAAGATGAAAGAGATGTCCATTTAAAAAAATGACTTTCTAAAATCACCAGAGAATCTCATAGTTACTGACCTGTTTGAATTAGCTTGGATGCTGTCACGAGTTATTCAGAGGTCTTCACCACTCGAAAGGCTCATTTCTTATATAAATTTCCGCGAACAAGGTCACACATTTATTCTTTATTTGTAGAGTAAACTATTACCTTCAAGATTTAGTCGTAGGGATTTGATTTATTACTAGTTTTATCATGGATAGATGTCAGTAAGGGAATATTTAAAAACCAGGAAGAACTGGACAGTTGTTTCGACATACTTGAGGACTCTTCATCAGCACGCAACCACCGGCATTCTGGCCAAAGACCTTGTGGTTGTAAACGGACTCCTAGACTATTCAATCACCTGAACCCTGTGATGTTACCAGTGAATTCCGATTTCCACCAATCTGTGATTTTAAATGTCCAGTACTCCTTGCATTTAAATGGTTCTCTCACTGGTTTCAATCCTTTGTCAAACTCGTATAAACAGATCTGATCCTTAGAAACCAACTCTTGAAAATTATTCTGATGCTCGCTCGTGACCTGCTATATGACAGAGTTTCCTGGAGTTCTAGTGAGAAGTCGTGACCAGTGAGGTCCATGCAGTCAAGTGTGAGGATGGATTTCCCACCGATGACATGGGTTGATAGTTGTACTCTATGCATCACGAATCGGTAGAAGTTAGAATTCATGGGTTGGCCATTGAATAGAGTCCCAGTGGCTGAATGATAAATGAAGCAGTTTGCTATGTAACGGAAGGTCCAAGGTTCGAACGCCAGTGGTGAGTGTGTACTTCCGATGATTCCTAAACTACTGGGATGAAACAGCTGTCCAGTACTCCGGTGTTGGTTTTCAATGCTTCTCTAACTGATATCAATCCGTTGTCACACTTGTATAAATGAATTATCACAAACAGACAGAAGCTAGAATTAATAGGCCGTTAGATTTTTCAGTGACTAAATGGATTTCCTGAGTTCCAACTGAAGTGAACGCGTACTACTGAAGAGTGTCAAAACTAAGTATCCAATTGATATAGACCCTTGGTAAAACTTGAAACACTCAGTATTTCAAAAATAAAAAAGTCTTAAACATAACTGCGGTGTGAATGGTCTCTGACAAACAAAACTATGTTTAACAAAGAAGAAAACTGCTTGTCATAAATGATTAAAATATTATTATTTGATTATATCGGTGGAGTACTTAAGTTGTAGATGGAGGGGGGGGGTTAGTGTCATTCTTCAAAAGAAGTCAGAATGCGACAAAAATCAAAACTATACCGAGTCAAAATTAGTTAAGTACTTCACGTTGAAAAGAGGTCAGGTGAACAGGTAACGTTTCAACTCATCATGTACTTAGTATGACATTCAGAACCTTCAAACTATATTTCTTCAGGTAATTATATTATTGTGACCGTTTCAAGACAGCTGGATATTTCACTGAACCGATCAGTTTGAGTTATTAAGTTTATTCTGTCTCTCTCTTTTTCAAGATGTATCACATTTACAGATCAGTGAAAAATAAGGATCTGGAGTTGGTAGGCCGTAATCCAGATACTGTGCGGTATATTATTATAGCTGTAATAGTTATGCTTCATCTCTTTAATTCATTCTAGTTCAAAATGGTTACCAGTGAAGTCGGTTTTTGTTGTTACAAACTTGTCGGGCCTAGTATAATACTTTCATCGTAATTAATCTGAATGCTTACGTTGATTCGTTACTAGACAATAACCAGTGTCATCCATCTATTCCTTGTTAATGGCGCAGACGGAATTCCATCAGTCAAGTTTTCAGTGTGATAATCAAGCTGACTGACGGATCATCGGTATGCACTATGAACGGATGTCAGATTATTGGAGGACTTAGATTAAGATTTCTTGCTTGTCAGGACATTACAGAAAGGCCTATCTGCATTTCTGAGAGAACTCATGTCTCCTGCGACGTTCGAACCCGCATCATCCAATGTCGCCATCGTAGATATTACTAATGACCTATGCGGGATCATGACTGACGTTTGGGGAGATTGCAACGGTTGCACTTCAAATAAGCCATGATAAGAAGTGCCAACAAGCACAAAATATAGTCACATCTGTCGCCTTCAATCATTCGAGTCGGAATAGTGCTTAATTTTAAACTCGACTACAATAAAGAGGGAAAATTCCACAAGATTTGACTTCTTTTATTGGTCACGTAACACCTAGTAAATAGTCTTCTGATGTTCTAGACAATAGGTAGTTTGCATGAGTTCTGGGGAGAAAACACTGGTTTTCACTTGGATGCAGGGAAATACAGATCATAGGGAGGATAAAAACTAATCCTGAGTTTCAGGTCTGATTAATAACTTACACTTAATAAGCATAAATGTGAGTCAGTGGCACAGTGGTTAGGTTGCTCGCCGATCACGCACGTGGTCAGAGGTTCGATCTCCGGCCACAGGACGCACTCCTTTACTTCGCTAAGCCACAAATAATGCTGGTAAAGAGGAAAGGTTGGGAATGAGGCTAGCAACTCCATCCTGTAAAAATAAGCACCACTGCTACAGAAACTTCAAGCCACTAGATTGAAGCCCCACGTTCCACTGGGAACGTGAAGGAAAAGAAAAAACAAGCATAAAACCATGTTCAATGAAAATCAGTGTTCTTGATTCCTGTTCTCTCTTGCTGCAATATATCATCAAAATGTTGATATCAATTTCACGACATTTCTCACCCTTCTGTTATCACACTAGTATCATAAAAATAAAAACTATTTTGTTCAAAAAACCTAAAAGAAAATACTAATCACCTTAAAATCATCTATTTTGGGGGGAAAGAATAGAATTGCAAGCTTCGCTTATCATGATTACTATTGTCTAATCATTCTACAGTTACCTTGAATAATACTAACAAATAATTCTCTGAAAAGTTTCAGTGAAATATCATCTTTGATTGGTTGCAGTGTTTCATTATGAGCTGAAATAAGTTAGTTAAACGACTGGAAAACCTGGGAGTACTGGACAGCCATTTCGTTCTAGTTTAAGACTCCTCATCAGTCTGCAACCAGAAGGTCCTGTGTTCGAATGTCGTTGACTGCGTACTGATGAAAAGTCCAAAACAAGGCTGACGAAACAGCTGTCCAGTACTCTCTGCATGTTTCCCAGTGGTTCCAAGCTGAACATTGGGCTTCAGCAACACATCACTGTTTCATCCTGTTCTCCCTTCATTCTTCTTAAGCTCACTGCATGATTCTCCACTAGATGTCATTTTCTCCTCACACGATTTCCTCTATATCATCTTCAGCCGCACACTCTACTCGTCATTGGATGTTCCAGTTCCAATTGCAGGTACGCCTGACACACAATGTCATTCAACAGTCTCGTGAACGTGTGTCCAATCCATCTCCATTCTATTCGCTATATATTTGTTGGAAGACAGGTTCTCGATTTGTGGATGGTGACAAGAACTGGAGTCCAGGATGCTCATTTCGTCATATTTGGGACTCGTCGGCTGGATGTACCTGCATTTTTCAGTGAGTGATGATGTTCCTACCACCCTGGCTCGAACCCAGTGCCCATAGTTTTAAACGCCAAAGCGTTATCTACGAGAAAAATCTCAAATACAATTAAAAAATAGGTTCTTAGTTGGTTTGTTGCCCATGTTCCTCACAGCAGACCATTTCTTCTAGGTCATCTGAAGGTAAGAAGGAAGCAGGTTGTTGGGAATTTTTTCGACGACATGATAAATATACTGTAATATATCAATTTATAAACAATGCATATATATATATATGTACATATTAAATCTTTTAAAATAACATTGGAAAAACTCACTTCATTTCTCTATCTGTACAAGTCCATGTGCCGGTTTTCTTAGCAATTTCATCACTACATCGATAATCATATAAAAATAATTCTCCTTTATTAATATTATTACCAGTCATACTGGCACCAGTAACTGTATTATAAACATGTTGACTATATGGTTCATATTTATTGAATGCACTTGGTGTTACAGAACGTACTCCATATGGATCATTGTACATAGACGTAGGATAATTATCTATACTGTTTTTATTATTGTTATTTTTATTACTACTGGCGTTAGTATAAGTATTATAATGACAATTTGTACACGGTAAATCATCGCATGAATTCGGTGCATCCCAATTATAATAATCTTGTATTAAAGAATGTGGTCTCCTCGGCAATACACGATTATTTTGTTTTTGATTAATTTTACGATAAACTCCATTGGATTTTATATCAATGTAGTAATTATTATTATTATTTGACTGATTATTGGCAGTAGTAGTATTACCGGTATCATAGCCACTGTTGTGAAATGATACCTGTGAATTATTCAAATGACCATTTATTATTTCATATCCGCTAGTGGATGATTTCATACTCTGTGCTAATGTTTCATCCGAAGCGTAAAGGCCTAAATGACTTGAAAAAGGCGTAGAAATGTGAAACAAATAATTGGAATACTTGAAAGATCAAAGCTTTTTAGTTGAAATCGACAGTGTACTCTATTAGTCGAAGTATAATAAATAATATTATTAATAATCATAATTATAATAATAGCTTTATTCTGAACCCGATGTTGATAGGGTAACGGAAAATTTGTTTGTTAAATACCCTCCAGAATGATTTATTCACATTATTTATTCTCATTTGGTTGTTCCAACTAACTTTGTCATTAGACGTGATAGAGAAGGTTTGTAGCCCAAGTGGACGATTTTCATGTAGGTGTGTTCTCTTAGCTGGATGGTTCATTTGCGAAGCTTTCATTGCCCTACCCCTACTAGACAATATCTTCAGCGCATACTTCAATTTGTTGAAGTTAGCTTTTAGTCATCTCTTCTGATGACTATGAACGTGATTGTGTGTTTCAATACCCTCTAGATTACTTGTATTGGTACAGATTGTTTCCTTGACTTGAACTGAACTTTGATTGGCGATTCACTGGAATACCAAGCAGGCTTCTAAAAATATCTAGCATTCTTAGTGTTTCCACTGTCTAATACTTGAACGCCGGGTGTCCCAGTCGAAATGATATCCGTGATTGGCTGTATAAAGCGATGTAAGTGAGTGAATGTCATGTCTTTTGACAGCTAGTTTACATTTATAGATATGAAGACGAAGGGGAGGTCTACTTTGGCCAATATGGTGTTTTTCGCAGTCGTTGTAAGTTATTTTGTAGATGATTTTGGCTTTATCTTCTTTTGTTGTTGAGTCGTTTGGTTGACATGGAGTTAAGTGAAGTGATTTTGTTGGTTTGTGTGCAACATTAATTCCTAAAGGTTTGAAGAATCTTGCGGTGATTTCTGAGATGTCTTTTATATTAGGTAGTTAGATTTTTTTGTGCTTTCCTTGGGATCTTTGATTTGATAGGTGATAGATGTCTTTTAACGAAATTCTAGAGAATATCTATTCTTTTGAAGACGTATGTGAGATATCTTCTTCAATGTACTGCAATGAATCCCGGCATTATTGAATAGTGTTTGTACACATCTCTTTTTGTGTGTTATTGGATTATTGCTGCTCTAATTGAGTATCGCTGCATGCAGACAATTACGGACATCAATTCGACTGGGAACGTTCAGATATTAGACAGTGGAAATACCAAGAATGCGAGAGAATTCTTAGAAGCCAGCCTGGTATTCCAGTGAATCATCAATCATAGTTCACTTCAGGTAAAGGAAACAATCAGTAGCAATACAAGTAGCCTAGATGGAGTTAAATACACGAAAATAATCAATCACGTTTAGAGTCACTCACCAGGAGTGATGACTAGCAACCTGATGGAGAAATCTAAAAGCTCACTTCAACAAATTGAAGTATGCGCTGAAGATATTGTCTAGTAGGGGTAGGGCAATGAAAGCTTCGCAAATGAACCATCCATCTCAGAGAACATATCTACAATAAAACTTTGTAATTATGACTCCTTTTTATGCCATTTGCATATCACCTTTTGATTTGAACTTGCTCATTTGTCTTTGTCACAGTCTGATGTATAACTTTAATGCTTCTCTATGTAGTTGCACGATACACTGATAATGAGTTATATCATGATGTGTTTTTAATTGAGTGAGTTAAGGTCATTGTGACTTTGATCTGTCTACTGGAAGCATTGGTGCGTGATTCTTACGGACAGAGTTTTGAATCCCGCCTTTTTCGAAATATTCAGTTATCTATGTCTATGAACTTTCAGTCGAACGTAATCCCTAGAAATCTGATGCAGAAGTACACACTTTTTACATTGCCTAACAAAAGTCTACTAATATGTTTAATTCCAATTCCAAATTTTGATCACACTTCATGCAGTTTTGTTTATTGTATTTTGATGCCTGTTTCATGATTCATATGATTGGACAAAGTTTTAAAGTCAAGAGATGTCCTTCATATGTAAATATACATATATACCTTTGTTATGTTAATTTCAGTTAATTTCCCTGAAGAAGTTCAAACCAGTTTGCCAAACGAAATGTTGGAATTACCCATATCTGTTTCGCTGAAACTTTACATATATGATTTTTACATATGTCTACTTCTCACTCGGCGTTCAATTATCTTGGAACTATTCTATCAAATCTCAACCACTGTTCATATGAAGTACTACTTAATAATTTATAGTTTTCTGTGGTTTTCGAAGTGGTATTGTCACATGACGTAAGCTGCCCTTTAACATATTAGAATTGTAGATCAGAATTCGAAATAAGGAAATGAGATTATACATTATCAATATTTGCTTGTTTCTATTTTACGCAGTTTCCAATTTAATTAGAAAGCTGAATGATCTATCCGTCATAAACAATATATTTGTGTTGCCTTGCTGTGTGAGTGTTTTTCATCCTTTTTGTGTTCCAAGTTGAACATAGTACTTCAAATTTTGGAATTTCAATGGCTGTGGTTTTTTTGTTTGTATTTTACATGATAGTATACTAGGCAAGACCGTGGAGTACATCGGCCTGGAGTTGAACCTAAAACACGCGCTTAGCTAGCGAGCATTCTGCCATTAGACAACCAACCCCCGTTGGTGGCTTCATTTAGTGATATCGGGAACTAAATCTGCGTAAGCTTTTTGATGAATAAGATGGACAGTAAATAAATGTCACAAATTTCAAGACTATAGATGTTACGAAATTTCCGGAATAATTTGATCACCGAGTCAGATTGAGTGATTATAAATTATTTAACATAATCCTAGTGTGTTTAAGAAAAAATTTAAAAAAGAGTTTTGTCAACATTTCATTGTCTAAGCCACAGCAAGCTTCGTCAGCAGAATTATTCAGAGTTGATTAATTATCAAAGCATATAGTCAAAAATTGCATAAAAAGAAGTCACTTCATTTGAAGGTCACTTGTCGGTAGACATTTGTATCAACAGAAACATGTAAACAGTCATCATTTATTTTTTAAAGACTAACATCGAAATGTCTTATGTGCATATCTGTCTACATGAGTATGCCAAAGTGGAAGTTATTTGTCTCGTGGAAAATACGTCGATTCACATGTGATAAACCTGATAATATTTTTATAAAGGTCACGGAGGTTCACAAAGGTATATGTTGTTCTTTATTGTAATCTGTCTTGCTTCATTAGAGTCTGCCATATAGATGATAAGTCTACCCCTTCTCTCCTATTCACTGCATTCGATGTGGTTTAAATATCCAAGGCTTCACAGGTCAACGTTTCTTTGTGTGAATAAAATCCTCTTCCAAGAATTTTGACATTGTCGAAATCAATATTATGTCGGCTATTTGTCGCATGCATTGCTATAGCTGATCTGTTTTCTAGACTTTTTAATTCTCTTTTATTTATAGGTGGATGTTTCGTGCAAAGTCTGTCTTAATTCACTCTGACCTTCACCTGTCTCGTGCTCTCTTCTATGTAGTAAGCTTCACATTCTGAACACTTTATTCCATAGACATAATTACTTTGTGACATTTTGGGAACCATATCTTTGATATTCACTGCAGCCTTCTGTAGAGAATTCGAAGGCTAAAAAAAGACTTTATTATTATTATGTGAAGTAAATAGTCTTTGAAGTTAAATCAAATGAACTGTAGTCAAGATTTGACAGAATAGTTCTATAATATTTGGGCGTCAAGTGAGAAGTAGACATTTGTAAAAAATTATATTTGTAAAATCTCAGCGATATTGAAATGAGTAATTCCAACGTTTCGTTCGAAAATCTGGTTCGAACTTCTTCTAGATACTAACAGTTTGAACAGACATGAAGGTGTGATGTTAGATGACGCATAGGAAATCCTGATTAATCAATAAGAATGGATATGTATCACTAATTAATAATACTTGGTCAAAGTTTCCCGACTGTCTATATCTGCTTATGGAGACGTTAAGACATTGTTTTACAACTGTTTATCCGCACACACACACATACACACTGTGTTTAATGTGTTTAACAAAGGTAGATCAATATTTGTAAGTCTGAGGTCAAATTTTGATCACAACTCGTACAATTTTGTTTATTGTACTTGTTTATATTTGTTTTATGAATCATGATTGGACAAAGTTTTTAAAAACAAAAGATGTTCCTTTTATATATAAACCTGTTATGTTAATTTCGATTAATTTCCCTGAAGAAATTCGGACCAGATTGCCGAACACAGGAAACGTTGAATTACTCATTTCAATATCGCTGAGATTTTACAAATATAATTTTTTACGAAAGTCTTTGAAGTTGTTCAGTTGTCTCCTTTCAATAGGGAGTGGCTATCGTCGATAGCCGAGATCTTTCAATTTTCTGTTCCCCCCCTCCCTTATATAGCACCTTTTTAGGATAACCATCTCCAGTCAAATTTTGTTTTATATCGAGATCGCGTTCTCCATATCATCATCATTATCTGTTATTGTGTTTCTAGCTGTGTTAACAAGATTTAAAGCTACTGCAATTTTCACTCCTATTAGATAATCTGAATGGAAATTTAAATACTTGTTTGAATGTGTCGGTTTCCTGTATATCGTGAACTTTAGTTTCTCGTCAGTTTGTCTTTTTACCAGACAATCCAGGAACTGGTTTCAATTCATGTAATTTTTGAATATATATATTTTGATGGTTGATAAAATCAGAAGTTGTGGCTTATACAGCGAAACGCTAAGACAAATCTTGCTTTGATTTCTTCTCAAACACGCCGCCATTATTGATTTTAAATACTCTATAGCAAATAAATGTAATCGGGCAACTATAGGCATATTTCTTACCTTTTCCAGTTGTTCCCAGTCGGGTTAGAAGGTAACTGTTGAAAAAAAAGAAAAAGATGAAAGATTAGTAAAAGGAAGGTGAACAAATCACTTAAGATTTGCCAAGTTATTCAGTGCGTCGATGACTTAGTGGTGAAATGCTTGCCAACTACACCTCACGTGGTCCGGCGTTCGATACGCGGCCACTGACCAACTCCTTTACCTCGTTAAGCCAGTAATAAGACTGGTGAGAAGGCTAGAAGCCTGGGCATGTGGATAGCAATCCCACCCTATAAAAACAAACACCACTGCTAAGGAAACTTGAGGGGGAACGATGAAGCGTGCCTTGCTTTCCCGATTTTCACTTTGATATCCTCATTAGGTCCGTCCACCTGGTAGGTGAAGGAGGTTGCCTCTTTCAGAATTCTCCCATTTATACCGACTGATTGTTGTCTGTTGTTGTTGCTGTTGGCCAGAAATTCTCATCACCACATCTGTTTTCTCCATGTTCACCTGAAGTGAAGTCCTGTTTTTGGATCTCATTCTGTCAACTTGTTGCTTTTCACTTGTATATCTTCCAGTTTGTGGGAAACCAGACGTATACCATCGGTGAAGTGTAGATCTCTCAAGGTTTTTGTGTGGGTCCATTTTATGCCTGTTTCCTCGCTGCCCACCGCTTTCTGTCGCATTATCCAGTCTACCGCAATCATGAAAATCATTGGAGACAGTACGAAGCCAGCTTGTCTTATTTCTTTCTTCACTTTGAAGGATTCCATGAGTTTCCCATTGTGGATTACTTGACATGCAGCACTGTCGTACAACTGTTAGATGACGTGTGTATAATTGAGGGAGGCACTTCATAGTAGCAAAGTATTTGCCAAATCACCTCTCGATCGACGCTGTCGAAGGCCTTTTCAAAGTCAATGAAGTTGAGGTAGAGAGCTGACTGCCATTCTGAGCTCTGAACAAGGATGATACACTGTGTTACGATTTGAGCGATGCATGACCTATTCCTCCCGGATCCAGCCGATTTTGGTCAGAGTTTCTTTCTTTTCAGTCTTCACCGTCAATTTTTGGGTAAATGCTCTCCTATGTTTGTCTATTTTATAACATCTAAAGATTTCTGTCAATTTAAAACTTCAATTTTTCTTTGTTTTTCAATGTTGCGTTGATCACATGCAGTACACAGGATTCATCATAGTGGAATTTGTCACTCTTTGGATAGATGAAACTGAGGTTGCAAACAGATAACAGAATGCCATACCAATAATTAAGTCTCGTTTATGGATTCGAATAGATAACGAAGTTATTTTTGACAGTATTTGTTATACCTTAAATTCTCTTTTCAAGATCGTGGAAAACACCCACTAGGATATTAGAAAGAAGAAAACGTGAAGTTCAGCAAACAAATATCTCCTCGGCGATTTCATTTTCAAAAGCAGCTCTACAATCGTATTTAAATGCATAATTTAACATAGATACAGCTTTTTTCTTGATTCCACACAACTACGATGGTGAATAAAATGTGACAATTATTTTTAACTAGATATGGTTTACGCGAGGCTTAGAAACAGAATTACTCAGGATTACAATATAATTGTAAGATAATTATTTGAAACTAATTATAAATGTGAGCAAGAAAGAAAGAAAGAAAGAAAGAAATTAGTCCAAGCTCTACAACTACCATGGACCTAGTTCGGTATGTTCCCTTAACTTCTGATTTTTCTTTGTTCTTTTTTGATATCTTTTTCATTCTCCCTGTGTATTCCTTACTCTCTCTGTCTTTACTCACTTCATCCCATTTTTTTTAGTCATAAGGAAAGTTATTTTAAGTTTATTTTCATGCTTTTCCTGTTCACATTTATAATTCGTTTCAAATAACTACTTTACATTTATATATACTAATTCTGTGCGATTTTTGTTCCTAAGGCTATCGTAATCAATTTTTTTTATTTACAGCTTGATTTCATACTGTATGTTTGGTACAGGTATGGAATTATCAGCATGGATATCGGTAGCCCAAATTTCGCAGGCCGACCATAGATATCGAGTGGGCGTCGGCAGGGGATCAAACCTTGGACCATGTGCATGGTCGGCGAGAGTCCTAACCAATATGCCACCGACGCACACACACACCTCCTAACTTCCATTTCTATTTGAAAATTATTATTTCGATTTGTCTCCATACTCATTTGCTATGCATCTGTGATTCGTTATAATCCTGTGTAATTTTGTTTCTAAGCCTCGCGTAAACCATATCTAGTTAAAAATAATTGTGACCTTTTATTCGCCATCGTAGTTGTGTGGAATCAAGTAAAAGCTGTATCTATGTTAAATTATGCATTTAAATACGATTGTAGAGCTGCTTTTGGAAATGAAATCGCCAGTAAAATACATCTGTGTTGCTGAACTTCATGTTCTTTTCTTTCTCATATCTCAAATTCACTTAACGAAATATTAAGAACGCGACAACACTGGATGACTGTTTCTATTGTAGTTTGTAGTTTTCTACTACTCTTGTCACACAGCTCTGCTTAGATTTGTGCTAAGGATTTTCAAGTCTTGCAGAATATTATACTTTGTATTCTAGTGGTTTAGTAAAATACTGACTAATTACTCTCTGAATGCCTCTTTTGAGAAATATTATCTCAAATTATTACAACGAAAAAACCTAACAGTTGGATTGATAATAGATTCTTCAAAATATCATCAAATGATCCAACAAACGGACAGTTATAACTAGTGGAATCAGCCAAATCGGACGTGAAGAAAACATACTGGTCGTCACACTATATATCATCAATTCGCAGATTTTACAACTCATAGACCGGTTGATTTTATGGAGGATTTCACCGTGAGCTGATATCAGTTAAAGAACTACTGGAAAACCTGGGAGTACTGGACAGCTGTTTCGTCCTAGTTTGACACCCTTCATCAGTACGCACCCATCACCAGGGTTTCAAACCCTGGACCTTCCGGTTACGAGGCCAGCGAGCTCGGAGACCGTTGTGCCACTGGAACCCGATCCAACGGTTCTTGAATTCTAACTTCTGCCGATTCACGACATAGCACAACCATTTCGCAATGTCTTCTTTGATGAGTTACTGCCTAATCTTCGACCTGCTGTACCCTACTGGTCACGGATTCCTACTAGAATCCAGGGTTAACTGCCTGAATAGGGTCAATCGCTAGTGAGCATCAGAATAACTTTAAGATATTGGTTTTGTAGGGATTTTGTTTGTTTGTATGGAAGATTTCACCATGAGCTGACATCAGTTAGAGAACCACTAGAAAACTTGGGAGAACTGGACAGCTGTTTGGTCCTAGTTTGACACTCTTCAGCAGTACGCACCCACCGAGGTTCGAACCCAGATTATCTCAATGGCTGACTGGTCAATAGGCTCAACTCCTGGTGGTGTGTTCATGCGTGTGTATACTGATGAAGCGTCTGAAAACTAGAAGGTAACACTTGTCTAATACTTCTTAATGGTTTTTATCAGTTTCCTAACTAATGTCATTTAGCAGTTCATCTTTGAACTTGAAGGAAAACGCCAACTAACTCAAATCTATCACAATTGTATATATATATATATATATATATATATATATATATATTTACATATGTATGAATGTGGGCTGATGCATCATCCTGAAACAAAAAGTCAACAAATTTTGATACTGGTTTGATTTTTACTAATAATGACATATGACTTCCTAGTGTGTCGGTGGCACAGTGGTTAGGACTCTCACTGACCATGCACATGGCCCGGAGTTCGATTCCCTGCCAACGCACACCTGATATCTATGGTCGGCCTGCAAAACTTTGGCTACCGATATCACATGCTGAAAATTCCATACCTGTACCACAAAATACGGTGTGGAATCAAACCGTAATCAGAAATATAAAAAATATAAAATATATATACAATTCTTCAGGAGGTCAATCTAGTGCCTGAATACCACAGTGTTTACCTGTGTGACTGTAGCACTGAGTGACTTAGGGTTTGAATCTCAGGAAGGCGCATTTATTTCTTGAAGAATGTAGATATGACTCACTAACAAGTTCCAACAAGCAGGCACCCTAGTCCTAGATCTTCCTGCCGATTACCATTAACCATTTAATGACAACAATTTAGAGTTCAGGTATTGGTTTGTAGGAATCTGATTGATCAGTTACAGGATTTTATCATGAGCTGACATTGGTAAAAGAACCATTGGAAAATTTGTGAGTACTTGACAGCCGTTTTATCCTAGTTTTAGACCCTTCATCAGTTCACACCGTCACCAACAGATTTCGAACCCAGGGCCTTCTGGTTAATAATCGAGCTCGTAGACCATTAAGCCACTGGGACCGGAACCTCGGCGGGTGTATATTGATGAATAGTCCCAAACTAGGATCAAACAGCTGTCCATTACTCCCAGCTGGTTTTCCACTGGTTCTCTAAACAATGTTACCTCATGATGAAATAGTGTAACGTATTTAGAGTTCTTAAATTGACGGCTAACTAGCTAGAATAATGCTCACATTGCAAGCATAACTGATAGGTTTCAGCGTGCACTTAACGGCGAAATAGACGCATGACAGTGTTGCTTTATGCAAACACACTACCGCTTAAAACCTTGAAGTAGAAACCAGATTTGATTGTTAAATGGTCAGAAAATAGGCCAATTTATGTTTGTGTACTATAAGCACATCTGTTCAACTTTAAATGAATGTTGATTCACTCTACTTTTAGTAACATTGCCCGTTGAATTGTTCAATTTTTCTTTCCTTTTTTCTCTTTTTTTCCTTAGTTTAAAGCTAAATTAGCCTTCTATTGTCATTTTTATTATTATTACGATTGTTGCTGTTTAACTGGCAGGTGGTTAGGATGTTTTGTTCCCACTTAATTAGGATTTTATCAATGGTAAATACTTCAGAAAAAAGAAAAAGTTTAATTTCAAGGTTTCTATCTGTCAGTCAACAGAAATTAATCTAAGTATCTGCTGTTGTTGTTGTTGTTTTTAGCTTGTTTGCTTGTTTATTTATTTTGTTCTTATTCAGAAAAAAAAGTGGAACAGCATAGCGAAAGAGAAGAGAATAGAAAAAGCCAACAGCATAGAAGCCAGTTTTTACCTGGAGGTCATTTTAGTAGAGTCAACAAGTGGTGCTTAAGTGTGTTTAGGTATTTAGCGTATAAAACTTGCTGTACATATATATATATATATTTTATACATATCAATTAAATCTGTTGTTATTTTCAAACAACAAAACGGACTAATCTAAATGTGACCACACGTAGGATTGTTATTAACAAGTTGGGTTTTTTTCTTCAATTTATTTTGTATACGAATTTGCGACAGTAAGTAGTATAGATTTTTATACAGCAATTTATCAGTTAAGGGGTTGACACATTTTTCTGAAAACTGAACAAACACACACACACACGAAAAGTGGAAGAGAATGGAAATGTAGTGTGAGCACTGTAAAGTTAAATTTCAGATTTTAGATTCTGTAACTAACAAAAATTAGATACAGAGCACTGGATAATTGTTTTGTCCTCTTTTTGGGACTCTTCATCGGTGCGCTTTCACGATACAACTAGGGGCTGAAACTTGCACCTACACCTTACGAGACCAAAATTTTTGACTGTTCAGCCAACTAGCCAGAAATTCAGTGATCTATGAATGCCAGTTGTTTCAACTCTTGGCAGCACTACCCTGACCAATGCCTTCTATGAGCGTTTACTTCATCTTGATATGGTAGGCTCTAGTAGTCATGACTCCCCACTACAGCTTCAGTATGAGTAGATGCTCACTGAAGGCGTTGGTTAGGCTAGTTCAGTATCACGAGTTGATAATTTAGAATTCATAGATTTTGTTCTCGTAAGCTGTAGGTCCTGGTTCCAGTCCCTGGTTGGATAGTGAGTGTACAATGATAGAGGGCTCCAAACTAAGAAGAAATGTATAACTAGTACTCATTGGATTTCAGTGAACTCTATGAGTGATGTAGGCTTACTGTGCAATTTAACAATGGGAATTGAATTAAACCATATCCTTACAAGTGCGTCAGTGACACAGCGGTAAAATGCACGCCAACAATGCCTCACGTGACCCGGGGTTTTATCTCCGGCCACTGATGCCCTTCTTTACCTCGCTAAGCCAGTAATAAAACTGGTGAAATGGTTAGAAAGTTGGGTATGAGGATAGCAACACTATCCAGCAAAAATAAACACCACTGCTACCGGAACTTCAAGTGTCTAGCCAACAGAATGATAGGTTTAAAAAACCACCATTTACATCCCGTCGCAAATACAAGTGAATGTTGAATATAAATATACATACATTATAGTATACTGATTCATGTTTAAATTGAAATAAACGCTAATTCTGAAAACTTACAAATGTTGTACCGTGTACAGTTGTACACTGATCGCATAAATTTTCATAGTTATCACAAAAAACCTTCGTATTTGTATTGCTGAGTTTTCGTAATTCAGGATGATGTGTAGGGTGGTGTCTTTGCATAATCACAGGTTGGACAGTGCTTCCATTCAATAGATGATCACCTATTTGATCAATAATTGGTTATTAAAATAATATTTTAAAAAAACATTTCAGTGTGAAGAGAACAAGAGTTCTGGAGTTTATGCAAAAATTAATAAAATATTTAGCTTTAGCTGAAAGGTATTCACTGTGATTCTGAATTTGGCATTGTGTCAGTGTGTGAATAAACCCGTAACCAATCAGATCTCATGCTAGCCAACATTTCTTCAAGAATCTGATATGAACTAGCAAGTAGCTGCATATAAGACGTTACCTGGAATTCTAGCGAGATGTCGCACCAGGGAGGTCAAGTAAGTCTGCTAAGAGAACATTTTCTCATTATAATAAAACGTTTTTGTATTTCCATTTATTTCCCACTCCCTGAAAACGGATAAGAAAGACTAAGACTCTCCAGCAAAACAACTGACTATCAAAACAACCACTATCAAAAATGGAACAACAACTACTACAAAAAGGATTAAACTAAAACACTGGAGATGCTTCAAAAACTGATTTCTTCGCTTCCCTTGAATCATTACTCAAATCATCAAACTTGAACGAGGAAACACAGAAAGAGATGCGCCAAACAATTGTATCATTGGCCAAACAGAAATAAACAACACACACACAACTCAACTCTCAAGAACTCAAGGCCCGCAAAAAGCTGAAAAATAGGAAGGACATCTTCATTCTACCAGCCGATAAAAGAAGAACAACAGAAGTCATAGACAGAGAAGAATACACCAAGATATATATCAACAACTCTCAACAAATCCCTTAAAAACATTGGACAACTGCATCCAAAGGACCTTAAACAAGCTCACCAAAACTGGATAGATCACAAAACAAGACCAATGGCAAATGAAATCCAATGGACCAGTCCTACCCTAATTCTACGGCAGACTCAAAGTGCACAAGCCAAATATCCCGTAACGACCAATTGTATCACTCCCAGGAACTCCAACATACAATTTATCCAAAGAATTATACAGAAAACTAAAACACCTAATGGAATCTTGTGATCACTACATCAATTCTGCTGTCCATTTCCTAGAGAAAATCAGAGGCTTGTGAATAGATGACCAAGAAATAAGGATATCCTTCGACATCACAGCATTATACACTTCAATTGGACAGAAACTAGCAAAAGAGACCATGAAGTAACTACTCAGCAACGACGAACACCTCCCACAACAATCAAAAATGAAAAACACACAAGTAGGATGGGATGCGTAAACCTATGTCTAACAACGTGCTTCCAATCTGACGGCCAAATATATGAACAAGTCAAAGGAACACCCATGGAATCACCAATATCAGGTCTGATTGCAGAAGCATTGATGCAAAGGCTCGAAAACATAATCCTGTCAAAGATCAAACCCCAAGTTTGGATACGTTACGTAGATGACACATTTGTAATAATCAAAAGAAACGAGTTGGATAAAACTCACAACATAATAAACAACGTCTTCAACGACATCAAATTCACAAGAGAAGAGGAATACGAAAGCAAAATCCCATTTTTGGACGTCTTAGTCAAGTGAACAACCACAGGGAAATTAGAAACTCAAGTTTATAGAAAGTCAACCCACACGGATCAAATCTTGAATTATAACAGCAAAAATCCAATAACCCACAAAAGGAATTGCATACAAACACTATTCAAGAGGGCCAGCCAGGACTCATTGTAGCACTCCCACCCTAAGGAAAATTGAAGAAAAATATCCCATGGACGTCTTCCAAAACAAGCTCGACATCAAATGTTTCTTTAAAACACCAGACACACTCCAAAGCAACCTTGTCCATATAAAAGACTAAATCCCTAAAGATCCTCTATCTAATTGTGTCTATAAAATAAAATGAATGCTTGGAATGTGATGTGATATACATTGGATAAATATCGCCGACTAGTAATCGAAATCAGAAGAAATGTACACAATAGAGCATCGCTGCGCCCCAAGAAATGCAGTTGAACTACAAAAGCTTGAAAAATCACCAGCCATATGTGGTGGTCTCCACGCTTTAGCATCTGGTCACAGAAAAGATTTTGACAATATTGAAATAATCCAGAAAAAGCACTTCAGAAATTACAAAGAACGTCTATTACCGGAAGTACTTCATATCAAATGGATTTCAGATTGTCTCAGCTGAATAGGAATGATGGACTCACCACCTACAGCTACTAATTTATGTGTACGCGTCAACGCATGTGCATTAGAAAAACAGATAGAAGAGTTGTTGTCTGTACATACCAAAGCATCTGAGACCGAAATAAACAGTGCGCTTGCGCAGCATCAGTTAGACACTGGTCATATTGTGGACAATAATAAGGCCCTTAAAATGAATAATCGGCGGGTGTAAGAAACGAAGCATGCTACATTTTGCTGAGTCAATCGTTATCAAAATATTGAAACCAAATCTGTTTACTCAGAACACGACACTGAGGAATCTATCCCTACCTTGGAGGCTAAACTCACTTAACAACGTGCGGAAATTTTACGTCATTTACTCTTTTATATCTTCTGTCAGTCGGTGATAATAGGCAGCGAGCTTTGTCCTAATCTTGTATGAACTCCGAAAGCCTAGCTGAGTTTCCTGTTGTGAATCACGTGACATGTGGCACTGTTATATAGCCAGCTGTTGAATGATGACGACAAAGACTTCAGGTACCACATAGTGTTGAAGTGGTTTCCAAATTACTTCTCTGTCTACGCTGCCGAAGGCCATTCCTAAAGTCGATGAATTTGAGGTACACGTCGGACTGCCATTCTATGCTTTGTTCTGTGATGAGGATGCGTAGAGTTTCAATTTGATCAGCGTATGATTTGACTTTCTTGAATCCAGCTTCTTCTGGTGGGGCAGATTTCTGTAACCAGTGCATCCTTCATTCTCTCTAGGATGAAACTACTTAGTATTTTACTTGGCGTGGATAAGAGCATTATCCACGCTAGTCACTTCTTGCTCGGGCCGAAGTCACTCTTCTGTGGCATTTTGATGAGGTGGCGCTTCTCGTAAATCAGCAAGCACCTTTCCTTCTTTCTAAGATTTTTACAGTAATGCAGTTAGAATACCTGCCGTAGTCTCTAAGTCATCTTCAAGGCTTCGGGGAGAATGCCGTCTCTACTGTACTTCACTGAAATCAAATCTTGTAGAATGCTAATCACAAGCCATTTGAGCTTTCAGATATTTCGCGATTAACCATGCCTATTGTGTATCAGCTAATGACATTGAGTGGCCGTTCAAACCCTGATAGGTGTAACGGGGTTCAAACCTTTGACCTTTTAGTTGAAACTCAACTGTCTAAACCGCAATCTAAGATCAATTGTTTATGAAAGTGAAATACAAGCGGACAGTATTCAAAAACTACAAGACGAGTAGTTTCATCAGATGAATTGATTTTTTTTACCCAACTGATAGTAACTGTAAAACACGCTAAATACAGGCGGCACAAACGGGAATGACAAAAAGTCAGCCAGGATCACAAAATGCAAGGTAAACCTCCACTACTTAGAAATCAATGTGAAAGTCTGCTGCATTCTACATTCGGAACAAGATCGGAACCTTCAATGGCAACTTTTAATCAGCGCAACTATACGACTCAGAGACTTGGTGAGTAAGTCGTCAGAGGAGTATCAAACTGGTTATTGCAGACTTTCGTCAATATTTGCTTATTTCGCTGCAAAATGAACATCAGATTGCCCGTGAAAAAGCAAAGGTAACGGGAAACTTTGTTAACGAACCGACGACTAACGACCTATCAAGTGACAAAAGGGGATGGAGATGGTTTGCAAATACACTGAGGAACCCATGGAGTGACATCACGCGACAGGCTAGCCGTTGACTGGAAGCCGAAAGGAAAACGACGAGTCAGGCGCAAGTCCGATGGTGACATGGAGGAGATGGCGTCAGGAAGAGATGAATGACTATAAGAAGTCATGGCGTCAGGTGAAGGCGACCACAGAGGAACAATACCAAGTGGAGAGGTGGTGTTGAATCCATATGTTCCACTTAAAACCTGATGGATTAATAATTAAAATAACAAATAAAGTACGCTACTGTACCATTATTCTCATCTGCTACAAGGTAACTACCCTAGCAGTGATTACTCTCTTCACCATGAACTTCACATCATATAATTTGTTTCCAGATGAATTTTTTGAATTCTCTGTTGATCGATTATGTTGAGCTGAAATGTTCAGTGTCCATATGGAGGGTTTGAGTCTCCTTAAGAACATCCTGATCACTCATTTGGAATGCAGCTACATTTTAGCTAACAAGTCCTAAGTGGGATAGAAAGCACACGGTGCATTCAACTGCTAGTCACCACCAACCAAGATAACTCACTGCTCATATTGTTTTTATGAAGAATGTATTAAAGTCCTGATGATTAAGAACAACAGAAGGAAAAAGAAACTGGTACTTACTTCCTGTAGTGTTAGTTATCTTCTCATAACTGTTAGTTCGACTGTTCGAAATTAAACTATTATTATTCTGATCAATGCCCAGATCACCAAGTGGATTGTTGCTTTGTGATGGCGGGTGGTATGAATGTCGATTGTATGCTTGATGAAGTAGGCTTTGTTGACTACCATGCGTCGTTATCTGCTGTAATGGATCCTCTTCACTATATCTACGATGATTCAATTTCTCACTAGCCAGCATATTGTATAGATCACATTCACTCGATGAAATGATATTACCATTCTAAAATGAATAGGATAATAATCTTTTATTTATGAAATGTTATACAAATTTCGGTTTAAGTTAGTTAAGCAATAAGGATTAAGAATGTGAATATATTTCTTCACATAACAGTAGAAATTGAGCACTTAGGTAGATAATAATTCCATCATAAAGTAAAAATTTGTTTGATAAAGCCATACATAATAATTTCGTATTATCAGGTAATGACTTTTCCAGCACAGTTTTGTTGCTCACAGTCATTATATTACAGCACTAAAACAACTTTCCAGCTTCGTTAATTTGGTTCCATTATATTTTTTATTCATTAATTTTATCGGTAGTATTTTCAAGTATTGGTTTTGTAGGGATTTTGTTTGATTGCATGGAGGATTTCATCATGAGCTGATATCTGTTAGAGATCCTTTATAAAACTAGCTGGAAGTACTGGACAGCTGTTTCGTCAGCGCCCCTTGGGGCTCCTCACCAAAACGCATTCACCACTAGCGTTTGAACACGGGACCTTCTAGTTACAAGGCCAACGAGCTCATAGACCATTAAGCCACTGTGAACCGATCAATGGTTGTTGAATTCGAACTTCTGCCAATTCACGACATAGCGTGACTATTTTTCAATGTCTTCTTTGGTGAGTTACCACCTCATCTTTAACCTGCTGTACCCTACTGGTCACGGCTTCCCACCAGAACCCTAGGGTAACTGCTTGAATAGGGCCAGTGGCTAGTGAGCATCAGAATAATTTCAAAGTATTGGTTTTGCAGGGATTTTGTTTGATTGGAAGAAGGATTTCATCATGAGCTGACATCAGTTAGAGAATCACTGGAAAACCTTGGAGAACTGGACAGATGTTTCGTCCTAGTTTGGGACTCTTCATCAGTACGTACCCACCGGGGTTCAATGGTCTACGACGTCGCCTTGCATGGAGAAGGTCCTGGGTTCGAACCCTGGTGGCTGCATACTGATAAAGAGTTCCAAACTAGGACGAAGCAGCTGTCCAGTACCCCCATCTTGTTTTCCAATGGTTGTCTAACTGATGTCAGGTCATGATGAAATCCTCCATCTTATTGGTAGCATTATCTTCCATTTCTTTGATGTTGATATTACTTTATTACAATTTCACGTGGTAGGTACAGATTCAAAGGTACGAGAATTTAGTGTAATTTTTGACTTTAACAGAAGTTAGAAAGAATTTGACGCATCTACGGATTTACCAAGATATAAGGAAGGGACATATGAAACCATAGGTGGGATTCTCAATAAAGCAGGAATTAGGGTTATATATATATATAACAAGTTTAGAGTCCCTATTTTCTTTCTGTTTGTCAAATAGAAGCAGTATAATGGGAAACAAAGTATTTTAGTTAGCATTCATTAAAATGGCTGTGTAAACAGTGTGTAAAGTAGGCAAAATTAAGACGTAAAGCGATAATGAATAAAAGCAACCGTGTATAAAATGAGACAACATCCGATCCAGTAAGGCCAACGTTTTAAACGGATAATCTCAAATATGTCATGATCTATTATGTTGATTGTCATTCAGGTAACAGCTAGGCTGTCAACAGTCTCCACGGTAATGAAATAAATCGTTTTTACTGCCTACAGGTAAGGAATGTTTGCCATCCATCCACCTAAATGCATAGTATTTATGATTATTAATCGACTGGGATCCGAGTAGGAAAGCACATCTCCATTTCATCATTTTTATCTCACAGTCCTCTTCATCTGACATCGACACTACCCTATACGATCTCACTGCCTCATCATACTATCTTCCCTGTGTCACTGTAAAACCCACGCCCAACTCGCCAATTTCATTCAGCTATCATTTGAGTGCCTGGTGAACGATGTCATTCATCGATCTACTTAGAGTGTGTCTTTCAAAATATTTGTTAGACATCGTGCTGCTATCTTCTCCTATTTACTCCCCATATTTCATTTCCTTTTAAATCATCCAATTATGAATACACTCAAACAGATTTCATCCTATTACTGAAAATGTTTTGAAGGCGATCGATGGAGAAAGAACATCGTGGAATAATACAGCACGCTATTGAAAAAAATGAAGATAATGAAGGACACTGAAGAAAATTCTATTTGCTTAAGGAATGAAACAAAGGAAACGATCAGGTCAGTCATTTCAAAAAGTCTCTTGAATCAATATGCATCAATCATCTGCATTTTACCAAGCAGTATCACCAACTGTCACAATTTTGCACATATGTGCAGCAGTTCAAGTCGCCACACTCCACTTGTTGTTGTAGCACACAAAGCAAGAGAAGAAAGTAGAAGAAATGCACAATACAGAAAGTAAACAGAGGTGTGAGACAAAGGAATAGTAATAATGAAGAACAAAACAGTTTCATTAGAAATCATAAGTCACAAGGAGTGGATGCATCTACGCCATTGAGAACAACGATTTTGAGCCATATCATCAGTTGTTTCCAACCATTGGTTTTTACCGTCTCGGGGACCCCTACCAGTTAAGAAGTCAACACTTCCCTACCTGTCTGGCTGGTTAAAACTAACTGTTGTGGATTTCATTGACTGGTCAGGCCATGTTTTGATTTGCCCACCACTAGCTCTTTTCCAGCCTGAAAATATGTCAACTAACATTGCCCATTGTCGAGAAAGGCGATGACTAGGCATCCGTAACACATGTCCTAACTATCTCAGTCGATGTAACTTCACAGCCTAGTGGATTTATTTCCCCTCCCTACCTAACACTCGACCGACGCCTAACCTCAATATTGCTCACTTTATTATACCACTTCACACGAGAGATAAAGCGCAGGCACCTATGATCAAAGACAGCTAGCTAGTCTTTTCATGTTTTCCACTCTCAATGGCCAGGTCTGATAGCAAGCAATAAAGGAGGACGGAGCGGACTGATGAGCAGTACACCCGCCTTTTGGTCGATATTCGGATATCACGTCTACGCCAGAGACGGCGTAAACTGGCGTATGCAAAACTAGCCCTCTGTATTCATGCTGAGATTTCGTCAGAGACCAACCCGTTGGGACTGACTGATGGTACTTCCCAGATAAGTGAAGCGATCAACGTGCTGTATCACTTTACTTCCTATTTCTAAACTAGGAGTCACTGTAGTCCAGTCCTGTAGCCTGATCATCTTGCATTTGGCGGGAGCGAATCACATACCGAATATTCGTAGACTGCAGCTCAAGGTGTTCAGAAGACTCTGCGTTTTGTCAGCGTCCTCGCCTAGAAGGACTATATTGTCTGCATATTCTAAGTCAGTGAGATTATTCCCTGGTAGCAAGTCAATCCTTGAGTCGCTGAAGTTAGTTAGGGTTAAGACCATTAGTATGTCTTTGATGAAAGTGAATAGAAACAACGAATTCGGCGTCTATTCTTGGGTTACATCGAGATGATAATGTGGAGAGGAAATGGAGGCTTGTGCGTAATCGTAAAGCTGACTAAAAGGCTACAGAGAACCTACTGAAATAGAGAGACAGCGATATTATTAGTGGTAATAATGACAGTAAATATTACTTGAAGGTTCTGCACAAAGGAATAAACAGCTTAAAATGAAACACATTAAAAATTCTGTTTTATTATTATATCATAGAAAATGATCAACTGTGTAGTAATTACTGCGTTAAAAGTAACTGAATAATTTGATAAATCCATTTTCTATCTATTTTTAATCAAATCCCTACAAACCAATACTTGAATATCAATGAGATGCTCACTAGCGACTGGTCTAATTACGTAGGTAGTTACCTAGGTTCTAGTGAGAAGCTGTGATCAGTAGGGTGCAGCAGGTCTGGTTTGAGGACAAATACTCGTCGAAGACATTGGCGACATAGCGGTCGCGCCATATCATGAATTGGCAGAAGTTAGAATTCATAGGCTGGCCATTGGGCTGGGCACCAAATGGTCTACGAGCTAGTTGCCTTACAACCAGATGATTCTCGGTTCAAACTGGTTGAGTGGGTGGTTGCGTACTGCTCAAGAGTTCTAAACTAGTGGGGCGAAACAGCTGTCCAATACTCCCAGTGCTGGTTTTCCAATGCTTCTCTAACTGATGACAGCTCACAATGAAATCCTCAAAACAATCAAACAAGAAATCCCTACAGAACCAATATTTGAGAATTGTTATGTTTCAGTAATCTAGTTGACCCTAATCTACAAGTTTGACCTATGTTATTGACTTCACAGTCACTAATTGCATGGTGTTTAATAAATTATATTATTTTTCCTAGTTGTATCTACTGGGTCGTTAAGTCGACAAAGTCTGTTTTCGAGAGGGTTGGTTGGTCGGTTGGTTGGTTCAAATTGGTGCAGCCCTAATCCTAGCGTCATTGAAAATTCTACGTAAGGCCTCTGACATCGCTTCTTTATACCACAGTGCTTCAGAAATGTATGAAGAACCATAGATAAAAACTAAGACTAGCAATAAAAGTGAGCAAAATAATTTAGAATTCAAAGCTTCTATAACATTGCCGCATGAAGAAAGGACGTTACAGGCCTTAGCTATACCTAGAATCATTGACCCTGGTAAGGTAAATAACCTTGAAAAAAACTAAGCCATCGCACTACATTTACTTGCGTGTAATCACACAGTGGGAGGGTGGGACAGTAGTCTAGTTAGCTGGATAGAAAGAGAGTTTAATCACTGAAGCTTTGTTTATAGACTCAACACTGCACACGTGCAATCGGAATGACGTAACCCATCGCATATACTGGAGTTATGAAAAGTGCCGACAAACAACAAAGGGAAGTTGGAAAGAGACAGAAGAAAAGAAAATATAATATATGAGACAAATTGTGAGAGCGTGTGACTAAACTGATAGTATTATGAGTGGCAATAATTTATGCTCAAAACTTTATCATCCATGCGTTTCTACAGCCTCAGCACTGTGTGCTTATTTAAATAAACTTATCTTATATGGGATTACATTTTACCATAGTGCCTAAGTTCTACAGACTAATCTTAAGTTATATATATAATATGTCCAAACCAAGTTCACTTTTTAACGGCTTGAAAAAATGTGGGCATTGGGAATATACTATTCATTATAATAAAGGTTTTTGTATTTCTCAATGAATGAATGTTAAACAAAACGATAATGTTTTTACTGACGTTTCGTTATTTAATGCTGCTGCTAATAGCTTTATCAGAGTATTACAGTTCACTTCGGAAGCAGAATCAGACGTCGGTGAACTACCATTTCTAGACTGCCTCGCTAGTTAAGAGAAAGGAAAACGGACATTTTAGTATATCCATATTCAGGAAGAAAACCCACTCCAGTAAATATTTAGACTTCAAATCATCACACCCCATCAGCGCAAACATTTCAGTTGTTTCAAGTCTTCTTAGTTGAGCACACTCTCTGATAATGGATGAGAAAGAAAAAGAAGAAGAAATATCAAACATTACTGAAACTCTCCTCAAGCAAAACAACTACCCAACGAACTTCATCAACAAAATCAACACAGACATTAAGTATGGCCGAAAACGCATTCCGAAAACATGAACATCAACAGTCGTCATTCCATATAGAACAGAGTTGTCAAACGATGTCAGAAGAGTACTCCATCAGCTCGACATTACAGTTTTCTTCAAAACATCAGACACACTGTGAAGCAACCTTGTCCATATAAAAGACCAAATCCCTAAAGATCCTCTATCTAATTGTGTCTATAAAATAAAGTGAATGCTTGGAATGTAATGCGATCTACTTCGGACAAACATCTCACGAAATCAAAATCAGAAGAAATGAACACCACAGAGCATCTCTGCAGTTGAACTACAAAAGCTTGAAAAATCACCAGCCATATGTGGTGGTCTCCACGCTATAGCATCTGGTCACAGAATAGATTTTGACAATATTGAAATAATCCAGAAAAACTTTAGAAATCACAAAGAACGTCTAATATCAGAAGTACTTCATATCAAGTGGAATCTAGATTGTCTGAGCTGAATAGAAATGATGGACTAAAATAGAATCTAACCTGCTTACAACACCTCCCTCCCCCATGAAGTGACAAAGTCAACACGAATGTGATAAGCAAGTTCACTATGTAAACCTACACACTACTTTTATAATTTTACACACTGATCAAATCCGACAATCTTCACTTGATTTTGTTATCCTTACCAATTGACAAACTTGAGAAAGAAAAATCACCCAGACTGACGAACGATGATCAAGTTATTGACCTTTGTTTTGATATCATAGCAGATGAAGTATTACCTTTGATATTTAGTTTAGTGATCTTCATTGTTATTTTAAACTTTCAATAAGTCCTTTTAAGTTGACCTAAGTAGTCTATTTTCTCACCCCTTAACTCTTTGTTATTTATATATGAGCTGAGTGGATTTTGTAAATTCCGGTTTAATAATACTACTTTGATAAAGCTATTAGCAGCAGCATTAAACAGCGAAACGTCAGTAAACACACAACAATATCATTTTGTTTTTCATTCATTCATTGGGAAATACAAAAAAAAACCTTTATTATTATGAAGACTAGTCTTAAGCATAGCTGATCAACTGAAAGGGACGGATTTGACTCCTGTACACTCCTGTGCACAAATACTGTCGTTTTCATCCAAACACCAGTAATAGCCGGGATTTTTGAATAGATAGGCTCGAGAATAATAAGTCGACGTCTGTATTCAATAACTTAATTGACAATTATATATTTAATCATAAAAATTATCTAACAAGTGTAATAATAATAATAATAATGGTAATAATTACTTACAGTATTATGTGTAAATTCTGGTTTCAATGGTCTTGCTATATGCGTAACATATTCTTCATTGACTTTTGACAACTGTGGCAATGGTCTACGTCTTGTTACTAAAGGTGTATTAATATCTGGTGTAGATTTATAATGTCCATAGTGTTTGTGAGAATTAGGCATCCGCGGATTGTTATAATTTTTATTGATATTATCCATATTATTATTATTATTCCTGTTATTATTATTATTATTGTTATTACCGATTTGAAGCATCCTCTCTGAGTCTGAAGCATCTATCTATAAATGAAAGGCATATATATATATATGTATATATACTAATATGAATATTACTAATGATAATAATAGTAATAATAACGATCAAAATTCAATTGCATCTTGTTAAAATGAATTCAACTCATCTTTTTTTTTAAAAATTTTACTAACCTCGTTATTTGTTTATAGGGCAACATACAATATCATCAGTTATCTCTACTGTGAATATGCATACAATTACAAAATGACAGATAAGTACTTATATACTCAGGTGTATATGTGTAATACCGCACTTACAGAAACGTACTCACAAACACGCAAAAACACATACGCACACATACACACACAGAGACATTTGAAAGAAATAACAAATAGAAAAAAAATATATATATAATATGAGTTCATTTCGATTGAAAGTTTATCGTTTTTTTTCGGTGATTAAAGCCAGTATAGGAGAACAAGATTTGTAATTGTTGCAAATGATTGATCTGATCTGATCTGATCTACACATCACATGATCATGATGGTGATGCGGATGATTACCATTGTGAGGTACCCAGTTGATACTGAGCCTACTTATCATCAGTATATATATATATCACCTGATAAGAATTATTGATCAGTTAATTGAACAATTTATTTTTGTTTGAATTAGTAATTTTGAATTTTATTTTTAAATGAAATTTGATCGACAATTTAGACATCAGTGATTGAAATAAGCTGAAAATTACAAAACTAATGCATAACTGTTAATCTAAGTCGTGTGAACATGCGAAAAATGATGTCATATCCCGCACTGTGTTTACCAATTTGAATGTACGTGTGGACACGCATACATAAGAAGGAGGACTCATCTATCACTATAAGTAAATAAGGACTGGCTTCAGAGCATATTCGTAAACGGCTCCAGAAATAAATAGAATCTTCACAACCTATTAATAGTCAGAACAGGAGATATAGCTTCTCTGTTCCGAAACATATTACAGAGACAGGACATAAAATTGATGTTAACAGATCTTTTGAACCTATGTATAAAACATATTTGCGGGAAGGTGTATCCTAAAGTTTGTGGAATCCCTACATGGCAATCAGAAAGTTTTGAACTACCTTTGCGCGTTCAAAGCAACAATTCGTCATCACACTAAACCTAACTTCTTTGGTAAACTTTGTTTTGATATCAGCCAGGGCAGATGTACTATCACCTCTGTTATTTGGTCTAGTAATCTTCATTATTGTTTTGACCTTCGATTATTATTTATTATTATTGTTGTCTTGGGTTCCTAGTGGAATATAGGGCACGTCTCCACTTGCCACTTCTGTCTTCCTTCTGCTGTACTTTTCACTTGCCTCCATGTTAGTCCATACTCTTTCAACTCCTCTTCAAACGATCTCCTCCATGTCACACTCGCACTGATGACTAACTCACCACTTCCCTTTCGAGTTCCACTCGAGGGCTTGACGTGCGATGTCACCCACCGGTCTCCTCAAAGAGTGTCCAACCCACCTCCAGTTCCTCCTGCATATTTGTTGGTTGGCGATTGCTTCTTGTTTTGTTTGTTCCCAGCCATAGTTTCTTGTTGATGATTCTTTCCGGCCCGGCCATCTGATCTTCAGTATAGATCCAGCGAAGGCAGTTGTTGGTTGATAAAGGTCTGCATGCAGCAGGCTGTTGGAAATATTCTTTGTGACCCGCCCGCCCGTCAAGTTTCTGATCCGTATAGAAAGAAGAACTGACTGACTTGACGTTTGTATTGAAAATCCGACTGAATTTTGTTGTTGATGGTGGCTGAGTGACGACGATTTCCAGATTGGTTTCAGGTTGATGAGTGAATGTGTTTCTCGCCTTCCCGATTCTCGAGTTGACATTCTCGTCCGTTCCGACTGCCTGTAGTTGAGATAATGCTCTCTGGATAAGTGAATGAAGTGACCTCTTTCAAATCCCTCCCGTTGATGGTGATTGATGTTGGATATTGTTGCTATTATTGGTTGGTTATTTTCATAACCTCCGTATTGTCTAGGTTCACTTGGAGTCCTGTCTTCACAGGTTGATTCTTCAACCAGTTTGTCGGTTTTCGCTTGTAAGTCTTCGATTTTGTGTGACATCAAACATAAATCATTCACGCGCGAAATCCAGGTCTTCTAGGTTCTTCACGTCGGTCCAGGATATTCCTATCTTCTCGTTTCCCACTGTCTGATGCATAATCCAGTCCACCACAATTAGGAATATCATTGGTGATCTTCAATATGTCCTTTTAACTCGACTAAAGTCTATTTTCTCACCTCAAAACTCTTTATTAGTTTCACGTATACATAGTCTTATGGTTCTATGTTCCACTAGGAACCCAAGGGAACAATAATAATATATTCCTATGACAAGTACACGTGTGATCAGATTGCTCGAAATGAGTGTTGCGCAAATGCTCAATACATAATTCAGACAAATTACGTGTTCTTATTGCTATGTCTATTTTTTGTAGATGTTAAGATGAGTAAAACTACGTTATGAATTCAGTGAGTAAACTACGAGTTAGTTAGGTCATTGACTGACGTCTTTAAAATCCACTATTTATCGAAATGTTACCAACATGACTGAGATCTGAGATGAACTTTGCCGATTTCTGCTGAGAATATGCATTGTACTGATCGAGGTATTCTACCAGAACACAAGCAGTGAGGTAAAAGCTTGCAAAATATTGTCATTCGAGGAGGTGATAACAACTGATGTTCTTCAAAGATGCCCACTGTCACCAGTTCCACTTGATTTCATCATAGATGTACCAATGGAATTAATCCTAACTCACTTCAGAGACTCAGTGATTGGCTTGTTGAAATCAAGAAATAATCTCGTTGACTTAGAATATGCAAATGTCATAGTCCTTCTAGGTGGAGTCTTCTAAACATCTTGAGGAGGAGCATTCTTCGAATATTTGACATGTGATTTGCTTCTGTCAAATGTAAGATAATGAGACATGAGTGGATTATATCTAATAACTCCTAGCTTAAAGATAGGGTGTTAAGTGGTTAATGGAGTGAGTCAACCACTTGACTTATGTGGGAATTTGCATCAGCCCCGAAGAGCGGATAGGTAACGAAACCTCAGAATGGATACAAACTGCTTGTGTGGTATTAGTTTTCTTTTAACTGCTTCTAATGTCATATTGATTGGTATATTAGTATAAAGACTAGTTATATCAAAACTAACCATTGTCTCATGGTTCTGTATTTGAATGTCATTTAGTTCCCTTTTCATTGCATATGAATTAGTTAGCTTAGATTTAGCATGAGAACAAAGTATTAGAGCTAAGTGTTTTGATAATTCATAAGTTGGGGTATTTCTAAAATCTACTATTGGTCCTATGGAGTAGCCTGACGTATGTATTTTAAAAGTACCATTTTATACTAGCATTATCAGTTTTAGGCATTAAATGAAACCATTTAGAATCATCCAGTGACGACTTCATTGCGCGTATGGCTGGTGCAAACGCATTCACTCTCTGTGATCTACCATATCTATCAAAAGCCTATTGTCTTTCTATGTTACCATTCTTTCTCTCTTAAATCTCGGCCTATTGTCATTCTTCTGAATCTATTTTATTCTCTACTGTATTGCTTTGTATGCTTCATGGTGTGTGCCAGATTGAACTGCTGCACTTCTGGTAGAAGTTAGAATTCATGGGCTGTCCATTGGATCTGACCCCATTGGCTTAATGGTCTACGAACTAGCTCGCCTTGTAACTAGATGGTCCAAGGTTGGAACCCTCGCGGTGGGTGCGTATTTCTGAAGGGTCTCAAACAAGGCTGACGAAACGGCTGTCCAGTACTCACTCCTAGGTGATTTTCCAATGATTCTCTAAACGATGTCAGTTCATGACGAAATCCGGTAACCTATTTTAAATACTCGTCACAGCAAATAATGTTATTAGAGGTCATATATTTTATTAGATTTTTTGAGTTCTGAACTATAAGACTGTATAGTTTTTTTTATGAATGTACCCATTGCGTGTAACTTTGGTTAAGATCGACCTTATTGTAAAATATGTCTTCAGAGTAAGAATGCAAGTATAGTATACTGTCCATCATTCGTCTTCTCACTGATTCCTACTGTCCTCTTGCTTCAATAATAAATATTCATTTTGTATTCGTTGGAACTTGCATGAACATTTTATCTTTGTCCAAAGACTATTCTACAACCGGTTAATATTTTCTACCTGTGGACACAAACTCAACAATGACATCGATCTGTGGATTATATTATTAATCTGTGTAAGTGGGATGGAACTTTAATTTTAAGTAACCAATAATTTTTATAATTCATTATCTGCATTTCTGTAATATACTGTAACACTGCTGGTAAACATTGAATCGTTTGTATGTTCAAACTGGTCTCCACATTGGCGGAAGACAAGAAGACTGTCATTGCTTAATCGTGTACTGGTTGGCAGAAGATTTTCGAAACACTATCATAAGTATCGTTGTACATTATATTAAGGTTTATTTACGGAATTTGGGACTGACTAACCATTGTAAATCTGTTTAATTATCGGTTGCAAAATAAACAATTGTGCTGTCCAACCATTTTCTGTCATTCTGTGTCGGTTACAGTTCATAGTGATCTGTGTATTAGTCTTAGTCTTCTGAAACCAGTGATAGGCTCCAGATATCTGCCATTTGGATATTTGAATTAATTGGTTAATGACTAGACTCAACAACACAACCAACCTCAATCTCCTTTTCTTATTCCTCTACTTTCCCAGTGAAACATGGAGCTTCAAGATAGAGGCTTGAGGTCTCGGTAGAAATGGTGTTTATTTTTACGCAGTGTGGATACCAGCCTCATGCCCAACGTTCCCTCCTCACAAGTCTTATTACTGGCTTAGCTAGGTAAAGAAGTGCGTCAGTGGCTGCGGATCGAACCCCGAACAACATGTGTATTATTATTATTACATTCTTTAATTCCTAGAGGAACATAGGGCTTCAGCTGCACGTCTCCATTGCGTTCGGTTTTCTGCCAACTTTTTCACCCCGCTCCAAGTGTGCCCGCATGCTTTCATCTCCTCTTCGCATCACCTCCGCCAAGTCACCCTTACACTGACGACCAACTCGTCACTTATATTTTGGGTTACACTCGAGCAATTGCTTGTCTAGCGATGCCACTCACTTGATGGTTTCCTCAGAGTATGGCCGTTTCTGGTTGGTTCGCTCCTAGAGATCCCCGTTGCTGATCTTTTCTGCCTGGCCATCTGGTCTTCTGCAAAGTATTCTGCTAAGAGAACTGTAATTGAAGGTATGAAGTTTGTTTGAGACGCTCTTTATGACGCAACAGGTCTCTGATCTTTATAGTAAGTAGTACTGACTTCACAATGGAGTTGAAAATCCGGATGTTAGTTTTGATGCTGAGTGCTGTTAACCTCCACACAGACTTAAGAGTAATGAAAGCTTGTCTTGCTTTTCCGATTCTTGCTTTATTATCCCCGTCAGTTAGGCTTGTAGCTAAGACGATGATTCCCAAGTCGGTTATGGAAGGAGGTTGTTTCTCTCAGGTTCCTCCCATTTATGCTGGCTGATTCTTGTCTGTTGTTGGTGTGGCTGTTTCTGTTGGTCAGGGATCTTCATCATCAAATCTTTTCTCTCTATGTTCACCTGAAGTCCCATCTTTGATGCTTCTTCTGCCAGCTTGTTGCTTTTCACTTGCATATATTCCAGTTTGTGGGAAATCAGACATATGTCCTCATCGGCGAAGTCCAGATCCTCCAGGTTTTTTGTGTGAGTCCATTTTATGCCTGTCTCTTCGTTGCCCACTGTTGTCTGTCGCATTATCCAATCTACTGCAATCATGAAAATCATTGGCGATAGTAGACAGCCTTGCCTCACTCCCGTCCTCACTTCGAAGCCTTCCGTAAGTTTCCCGAAGTGGATTACTTGGCAAACAGCATTGTCGTACAACTGTTGGATGAGATGTATAATTGTTGGCGGCACCCAGTAGTAGCGAAGTAGTTTCCAAATCACCTCTCGATCGACGCTGTTGAAGGCCTTTTCAAAGTCGATAAAGTTGAGATAGAGAGGTGACTGCCATTCCAAGCTTTGTTCAATGATGATTCGTAGAATGGCAATTTGATCAAGAGGATATTCTACCGCTGTGCCACCAAACCCACCTCAATCTCCTAACGTATAAATATATATATATATATATATTGTGAAAAATGTAAGTATATACGAACAATAAGCCATAGAGCCTAGACACAAATTAACCGAATGAAGAAAATTTATCAGATGAACTTACTATCAACTCTTCATTAGAATTATATTGTTTATCTGCTACATCATTAAGATTTCTCCAATAAATTTCATTCACTTCATGTATATTATGTAATCGTGAATTAGATCCTTCATTTTCTATTTCTATGCGTGGTGTTGATTTACCACCTGTCGCCTTATCATAACTGTACAATGTTGGTTGATTTATTTTCCATGAAATATTATTATTACTATTACTACTACTTGAATTATTATTATGAGTAGTAGTAGGTGCAGCATTGTTTTCATGAGATAAACTTTCAGGTGATCGATTTAATTGTGGTGATTGACTGCTGACAGCAAGACTGGAATTAATCATAGAATGACGAAATTGTACATTCTTTTTTTTATTGCTTGACTCATATGATGTTGGCAATTCAGGATAGGAATTAGTTTTAATATGATTATTATTAGTATTACTATTATTATAATTACTATTATTTTCACGAATAATTGTTATTTTTGGTCGTAAATATACTTCATTATGCATAATTTCTTCAGAGAAATTAGAAATATCTGTTGTCGATGGAGAGTCTAAGTTTTCACCCAATACAATAGATGATTTATTCATGAGTGGTGAATGAATTTCATTATTATTATTATTATTATTTCCATAGGTTATTAATTTACTGTTTTGATTATATCCATAAGTTGGTTGAGTTAAATTTGTTACTGATGTGCTTTTAATATTTTTGAAATATTTGTAACCCTCATCTAAAATACAAGATATGTTATATTAATAGTTAATATTATAATACTGTTGAGGATATTTTATTAATTAGTAAACGTGATATTAGCCTAGTAATTTAATAATATAACTATTACTTCTTTAGGTTATAAGAGGAACGTAGTGCTTCAGAAGTACCTCTCCACTTTGTTCTATTTCCAGTTGTCCTCATTTTCAGCTTGCCATACAATTCCCTATAACCTCTCATCTCCTCTTCTCATGATCCCATCTGTGTCACCCTCGCACTGAAGACCCACTCGAGTGATGGCCTACGTTGCCTGAAATGCCATTCCACTGGTTTCCTCAATGTTTGCCCGATCCATCTCTATTTTCTCCCACATATTTATTCAGAAATAAGCTCTTGGTTGATTTTTACTAGATTTCCCTGTCGATAATTATTTCTCGCCAGTCATCTGATCTTCTGTATGAAGCCAGTGAAGATGGCATATATATATATATCTATATATATATATAGCTGGATTCAGGAGAAACAAGTCATGTTTTGATCAAATCGCCGCACTGCGAACCACCATTGAACAAAGCTTGGAATGGCAGTCACCTCTCTATCTCAACTTTATCGACTTTGAAAAGGCCTTCAACAGCGTCGATCGAGAGGTGATTTGGAAACTACTTCGCTACTACTGGGTGCCGCCAACAATTATACATCTCATCCAACAGTTGTACGACAATGCTGTTTGCCAAGTAATCCACTTCGGGAAACTTACGGAAGGCTTCGAAGTGAGGGCGGGAGTGAGGCAAGGCTGTCTACTATCGCCAATGATTTTCATGATTGCAGTAGATTGGATAATGCGACAGACAACAGTGGGCAACGAAGAGACAGGCATAAAATGGACTCACACAAAAAACCTGGAGGATCTGGACTTCGCCGATGAGGACATATGTCTGATTTCCCACAAACTGGAATATATGCAAGTGAAAAGCAACAAGTTGGCAGAAGAAGCATCAAAGATGGGACTTCAGGTGAACATAGAGAGAAAAGATTTGATGATGAAGATCCCTGACCAACAGAAACAGCAACACAACAACAGACAAGAATCAGCCAGCATAAATGGGAGGAACCTGAAAGAAACAACCTCCTTTACTTATCTGGAAAGCAACGTTTCAACTACAGGCGGAACTGACGGGGATATCAAAGTAAGGATAGGGAAAGCAAAACAAGACTTCATTACTCTTAAGTCTGTGTGGAGGTCAACAGCATTCAGCATGAAAATGAAAATAAGATCCGGATTTTCAACTCCAATGTGCAGTCAGTGTATTATACGGATCAGAGACTTGGCGCATCATGAATAGCACCTCAAACAAACTACAAACCTTCATTAACAGTTGTCTTCGCTCAATACTCAAGATCAGATGGCCGGCCAGAAAAGATCAGCAATAGTGAGGGATCTGTGTGAGCGAACCAACCCAGCAGGAACCGATCGTGAAACAAATAAGCGGAAAGAAATGGAGATGGATTGGCCATATTCTGAGGAAACCATCAAGTGAGCATCGCTAGACAAGCCATTGTTCGAGTGGAACCCGAAAGGGAAGTGACGAGTTGGTCGTCAGTGCGAGGGTGACTTGAAGGAGGTGATGTGAAGAAGAGATGAAAGCATGTGGGCAGACTTGGAGCGGGGTGAAAACGTTTGCAGAGAATCGAATTCAATGGAGACTCGCGGCTGAAGCCCTATGTTTCTCTAGGAATTAAAGGAAATAATAATAATACTTTGACCCTTGACCAGAAATTATTCTGGTACTGTTCCATCCATTTATCATAAATACACGAATGTAAAGCTATCTAGTTGACGGTAACTTCGTCGAAAAGAAGGCTTCTCTTCGCTGCAACTGTCTTTTTTAATAATTACTTATGTATGCTTAATTTAAATCCCAGTCTTTATTCATTACACTTTACAAAGGAATTCACTAACCAGTGTCTTTGTTCCTTGTGGGCTCATTCAATTCCCGTTTGCTATTCTCATTTATCTTAGGGCTGATATGATTATTTTGCAGTAATAATATGCTTGAAATATTGACTGGGCTAGGCGTGGTTTCTATGAAGTTACCACGATAAACTGGTATAAAAGATTTCTGATTACTAATATTATTGTGAGCATTAGCAGTAGTAGTGATAGTATGTGAATCCATTATCCCATTTTTCACATTATTAATATAATTATCACCACTATTGTTAACACTGACATTATTACCATTACTTTTATATGTGATGTTGTTTTTTTGCAAAGTTGGTGAATGCGTTTGTCCATTTACTACAGTAAATTTTGTATGATATCCGTCTTTATTAACTGGTGATGATGAGGATGATGATGAAATGATCAGGGAATTTCCTGTTCTTGGTAAAGTTGAAGCATTCCGAATAATTGGATTTAATTCTTTAGATGATGATGAACTCGATTTGTCCATCTTTTCTCCTCTGAAAATAAAAAAACAGAATAAAGGGATGGTTTTTAATGGTTGGATAAATAATATCAATCCATGATCAACTTGTGTAAACAAAAACTAATCCTTACAAACCACCTTTAGAAAATCAATCTGATGCTTGCTATAAACTTGCTATAGGACGGGGTTTCCCGGAGTTTTAGTGAGAAGTCGTGACTAGTGAGTTCTATCCAGAGGTCATGTGTCAGGACGAATTTCTCACCGACGACATTGTTTGCGGTAACGCTAAATCAAGAATTTGTAGAAGTTAGAATTGATAAACTAGTCATTGAATCAGGCAGGTTCCAGTGGCTGAATGGTATATGAGGCAGCTTGCCTTGTGACCGGAAAGTGATGGGTTCGAACACCGGTGGTGAGTGTATACTGCTGATGTTCCCAAACTAGGATGAAACAGCTCTCCAGTGCTCCCAGGTTTCCGATGGTTCTCTAACAGATATTAATCCATGATCAAACTCGCAAAATACTCAGATAATAGTAGAATTCAACAAAAGCCAATTAGAAATTGCTTCCTTTCTCCGCTGTCTTACACGCCTTGACGGTAATTTGTGATGTTCTGCCTTTGATAAGATTTTTCCTAACTTAAGCATCTTTTTCATCAGTTTACCACTGAAATTATGTTAGTTGACGGCTTTGACGGACTAGAGGTTAATTGAGGGCTAAGAATGGCATATATGATAGAACTGAGGCTACCTGTTAGTAGATTACTGACTCACTGACTCAACTTCTTAAGTTGTGAAATGCATTCCATGTTTATACCTTTAGAAGATTCTCATCATATATTAACTAATTTAAAGAATTGTATATAACACATCATAATCAAACAGAGCATAGAATGTAAGTCACTTCAGATTCATTGAAAAGGTCTTCGACAGTGTTGAACGCTAAGTAATCTGGGAACTACTTCAATGCTATGGAGTGACTCAAACCTTTATCAACCTCATGTAGTAGCTGTGTGGTTATCATGATGCTATATTTCAGTTGATTCACGACAGAAAACTCACAGACGCTTCTGAGGTAAACACAGGAGTATGTCAAGGATGCTTACGATCAGCTATGATCATACAACAACCCATGGGATCAAGATAAGAGAAATACTATCGACCGACAAGAAGATCCCAGGAGATCTGAACTTCACTGATGATTTGTGTCTAATATCATACGATCTTGAAGATCTAAAGGCGAAAATTAACCAGCTGGCAGGAGAAGCAACAAAGACAGTACCTCAATTCAACACAAGGAGGAAAGCTGATGAACATACCTAATCAACAGCAAAAACAAGCGGCAGTTGTCATCAACGGGACAAGTTTGAACGAAGTTACATCACTCACTTATTAAGTGAACTGCATCGTTACAAATGTAGTCAGTGGTACAGCTGAGAATGTCAAAGACTAGATCAGAAACATATAGGAAGTCTTCATAACACTGAAATCACTATGGGAATCTTCTGAACTCAGCACAAAGAACAATACCTAAATATTCAACATAAATATCAAATCAGCGCTTTTCACGGTTCAAAAACTTGCCACGTAACGAACAAGCGACTGTAGAATTCCATCAACACTCGTCTTTACTTCATACTAAAAGTCAAATGACCCACCAGAAAGGATAGACGACAAGGAAGTCTGTCGACGAACCAACAACCTGAGGAAGGACTGGTCACATTATGGGTATATCGCTAAGTAGCATCACTCACAAGCCACTCCCTCAAGTAGAATCCTAACAAGAGACGGTGACTTCGACACTGTCTCAAGTTCAACAGAGAGGATATCATGTGAAGAGAATATGACAGCTTATGAGAAAGTGTGTGTGGAGTGAGCTAGGTTGGGTTTCAGAGGACAGAGTGTAATGGCGATATGCCTTGTAGTACTACACTCCGAACCCATGGAAATAATCACGGGAAGAAGAAGAAATCAGCACGCCTTTTGTTATCAGAACGATCGATCTAATTGCAATCCGAGGTATGTTAACAAAAGATGATTAGCTAGTGAATATTTCATTTACATGACAGATTTGGATTAGTTACACTTAGTTGATGTATCCAACTGGAATGAAAAAGTTGATCACATGAAGTTCGAAAGCTGGTGGTGATCAAAATAGGCCTTTAAGTGAACAACAATTTCGTATATAATAAAGAATTTTTCATTATGCATTCTTATCATACACTACTGACTACTTGAAAAAGAGAGGGAAATGATATTAACAATGTGAAATTTGAACAATGACTGACAGGATGTCATTTTGTGTTATTCTTAGCTTACAAACAGGTTGTCATTCTTTTAATTCTTGTGCTATTTCACCTCCTCTTTTTGTGTGCACCGTGTAGAGTAGCACACTGAAGACAACTCAAATGATTTCTCATCTCAGTTACAAAATACCACTAAACAAATGCAGAATGAAAAACATATTTGATGTTGTAATAACTAGTGTTTTAAAAGTGTTATAAGAAAGTACTATCCATCTGTGTATAGCATAAATATCATTACTGCATTCGTTTTCTTGATTGTGTTGGTTGTGATAACAATAGTCTCGTGTAAGTTTCCTCTGGTAATGTTACAGTGTCGGGCATTAGGCTTTTGTACAGCACACCATATTGCACATATAACTTCATTGAAATCAATCGTTAGAGACATATAAGTCCAGTTACAGCAAGAGACCTGTGTGCGTCGCTGACACAGCGGTTAGGACACTCGCCGACCATGCACATGGTCCATAATTCGATCCCCGGCCACCGACGCCGAACTATCTTACCTCGCTAAGCCAGAAACAATTTTGGTAAAGAGGAAAGGTTGGGCATGAGGCTAGCAACCCCATCCTGTAAAATTAAACACTGCTACAAAAGTCTCAAGCCACTTGCTTGAGGCTCTACGTTACACTGGGAACTCGAAGGAAAAAACAGCAGGACATTTAGTCATAGCTGTTGATCATTTAGGAAAGAGAAAAAACTTAATAAATGATCAAAGACTGTAGAGTAAGCGTAAACACAAAAATTATCAATGGAATCTGTTTCTGACGTAGATCAGTGACAACTTATGTGAGTAAATGAATACCACACCAATGTCCTCATCGGTATTAAGTGTACATTAGATATTTGTTCACAGTGGTGCAACACAAGACTTCAGGTTTTCCAGTTTCAATAGGGGTGGTGTTATCTCTTGTGCAGTGGGGTTGCTAGACTTATACATCTGGACTTACTATCGTCTCATAAACTGGGCAAGGTTTTATAGAGTGCTTTAGATGGGAATCAAGCCCGATCCACTTGTGTGGGACTAGTTAACATTCGACTGTGTAACCACCGGCGCACCAAGGTTTACCATGTAACAACAGAAAACAAGGGCCAGGCAACAGATCGTTTCATTACGGAAATCAACACGTATTTATATAAATTTCACATACATTATTATAGCCTAGTCAAGTAGACAAACGCAGTCTTCTTATTGGTTGTTTTCGAGTTCCTCGGAAAGTGGAGCCATCTATCTGCGAATCATATTTGCCCACGTTTAAGTTTGCTGTGATTGGTTGTTGAAACAGCCTTGTTCATATTTTCTCACGGCCCATATTAGTGACGTAGACATTGACGTAGATTATGTCAACGAGTTGGCTAGCAGGCTGCTCCCACCACAACCATAATTTAGGTAAATTATAGAAAGCTTTTTTACAGCTGTTATCTTCGAATTCACTTAACGACAGAAAGGAGGTTTGACACCCATATTCATTTTAAACGTAGAGACTGAAATGTCTTAAAATATGTAACTAAAAGCAATTGAGATGAAGGGATAAATTATAATGTGTCTTCTGCTAATGGGACACACCTCTAGGCGGAGTTTCACCGTGTCTAGTGTGTCCTAACTATCTAATGAAAACAGTTCCATGCCTAGTCTTACAATTTCATTTATTTTCGGGATGTTATTTATGATATCAAGAGGGGTCATGCATTACAATGTACAGTCTTGGTTTGTCAAAAGACGCTGCAGTAAAATTTCTCTTCGATATGCATAAGTTCAGACTGATAGTTTCAAATTATTTGTAGTACTAGTTGGTTACGGTGACTGGTCAGAAATCAGGTGGTTTTAAGTGGTTTGTCTGCTTCATCTGGTTTTTTTCACGGAAATGTATCATATGGAGTAGATAACAGGAGAGTGTAACCAGCCTTTACTGCTAGAATTACTCTGATCCTGTTAGAAAGCTCTGTTGAATGCCAGTAAGAGCTTTCCAGGTTCCCGTTTTAACCAGTAATATACGCTATTTTGAAACCAAACAATAAGCAAGGTTATTTGCTGAATGCATCATGAAAGAGATTTAAATGTATCTCATTTCATACATAAAGATTAGTAGTAATGTAACGAAAGAAGACAAGGGCCAGGCAACAGATCGTTTATTGAGAAAATCAACAGATATTTATAGATTTTTATGTACATTATCGTCAGCGGAGAAGCAGAGTCTCCTGATTGGTTGTTTTCTTGCCAAAGGTTATACTGTATAGCTAGTGACCGTTTCTCAAAAGTTAAGCCAAATATCTGCGAATCCTATTTGCGCAAGTTAAGTCTCAAGTTTTGACCGCCTCTTAGACTGATACTTTATACATCATCCAGAATAACTTTGACAAGAATTCAAATCAAGTGCACTTTATTTTGTTGTTTTATTTGACACATGTACTTGTAAGTAGTTCGTTTAAATGTTAAAAAGAAAAGCAACATTCACTGAGATCATGACGATGTATTGCTATGATTTATGTAAGGTGATTCAGTAAAAAAGGCATTTGGTGGTGCCTACACTATTGAAAGATTTTGTGATTAAGTTAAAAACAGACATTAATGAGTAACAAAACTAAGGGAACATTAAGTATTCACCACTTATTTGTTGAAAATCTGTCACCTGGGACAAATTTGTCATGTATGTGGCTAAACCCACACTGCCCAGTTTCCAAGTTAATATAGGTGGAGTGAGACTTGTACTCATGACCGATAGGTTGAAAAC